CGACTCTCCGCCTCTCAGCTCACCACCTCGCCTTCTCTGTCGCTCTCCTGGCCCAGGCCCATCAGTATCAGGTCTGAGCTGTCCCAAACCGCACTTACCTCGGGTCTTCAAGCTCACACCGGCTCGTGATGCCACGGAGAGGGCTCCGAGATTGTCCCCGGTGGACCCCATCCGAGCCGATTGCGAGGGCATTACGGAGGTCATTGTCGGCGCCATCGACTGTGAAATGTCCCGACCCACAGCCCTCATGCACTAGGCTCATGGATGCAGTCATAATATGTAGGCCTTGTCTCCCGAAGTTTGGAGCAATAGCCGCAAATAGTACTTTTTGGCACTTCATCGCGACACGTCCAGGTGCCGACAAAGCGGCTTCCCAGCTCACCACCTCGCCTTCTCTGTCGCTCTCCTGGCCCAGGCCCATCAGTATCAGGTCTGAGCTGTCCTAAACCGCACTTACCTCGGGTCTTCAAGCTCACACCGGCTCGTGATGCCACGGAGAGGGCTCCGAGATTGTCCCCGGTGGACCCCATCCGAGCCGATTGCGAGGGCATTACGGAGGTCATTATCGGCGCCATCGACTGTGAAATGTCCCGACCCACAGCCCTCATGCACTAGGCTCATGGATTCAGTCATAATATGTAGGCCTTGTCTCCCGAAGTTTGGAGCAATAGCCGCAAATAGTACTTTTTGGCACTTCATCGCGACACGTCCAGGTGCCGACAAAGCGGCTTCCCAGCTCACCACCTCGCCTTCTCTGTCGCTCTCCTGGCCCAGGCCCATCAGCAGCAAGTCTGAGCCGTCCCAAACCGCACTTATCTTGGGTGATGAAGCTCACTCTGGCTCATACCACGGCTCTGCAGCCTCACACACGCCCGTTTCAGCCACAGACACCGCCGGCACGCACTCCCACTTCACACACGCTCAAGCACAACCCCATCAAAGCACATCCCTGCTCAGAATGGGCAAGGGCTACCACCTGGTGACCCTGGTAGCCTCTGGCTCGCCACTGCACTCGGCTCCTCTGCAGCGGTCTCGGCTCTCGCCACGACAGCACGCCGACGGCAAGCTTTGACGCCCGTCTGGTGGACCTGCTGTGGCCACAGCCGCCCCTGACATGCATCTCGCACCATGACTCGACACCGGGCCCGCTCAGCTTGGTCGTGGCGGCGTGTGTGAAGGATGCGCGGCCGAGCCGCTGGCTGGCGCCGCTTGAGCGTCCGAGATGGCCGCAGCAGAGGCCACGCGTCGCGCCGCCGGCCAAGCCCAGCCTCTCCGCGGTCCAGTCGGTCAAGCTGGCGGGGCCGGCGAAGATTTCGGGGACGTGACCACAACTCGGGCAGCGACAGCGCGCTTGAGCTTAGCTTGTCCGACACCCCTCAAAATCGGGGTCATTTCAATAGGGCCCACCTTGGCCTTTAACGACATACAGCAGACAGGCAATGGTTCCGGAACTGATTAAAAGAAAAAAATCCCCTCGCGCTGGCTCGGCGACTCACGCGACCCTGAACTCAGTGCTGTCCACTGATCCCCATGCTCCCAACCTCGGCCCGACGCGCCCGATCCGGCCGCTGCCCGACCACGTCCATCCTCGCCACCCTCCTCGCGGCGTGCGGTGGCCTCATGCTCGTCATGGGCCCGCAGCCGGTCGAGCCGGACCTTCGTCCTCCCGAGCGGTTTGGCCGCTGGCTCCGCGATGTGGACGAGGTCGGCGAGGTCTTGTCGAGAGACTCCGACGCCGCCGATGAATCGCCATTGCCATCACCACCGCCACTGCCGTCACCTCCTCCACCTCCGCCACCGCCGCCGCCTCCGCCGCTGCCGCCTCCTCCCGATCGTTGCCACGTGATGGAGCGAACCGAGCTGTCCGGCGACGTGGTCCGCTGGGGCGCCGATCACAAGGTCTCCTCCGCCGCGGCCTGCTGCACCGCCTGCCTCGCAGAGGACCGCTGCTCCGTCTGGGTCTACTGCGCCGGACCGGCTTGCGGGGCGCAGGCGGGAGAGTGCTGGCTCAAGGCCCTCGCCGACCCGTTCAGCGACGTCGACCTCGTCCGAGGCCGCTCCGACCGGTGGACGTCGGGGACGCGGCTGCCTCCGCCTCCGGCCGGCGCCACTCCGAGTGAGATCTCGAGCGGCGCCGTCGCCTGCAGGGCGCAGCGCCGGCTGAGACTGTGAGGCTCTCTGCGCGGTATAGGCCGCGCCGTCCCTGCCTCGGAGGCGCACTTGCTGCTCCGGCTCGCGGACGGGCTGGGGAGCGTGCGGCTGCGGCTGCGGGACGGTTCGCCAAAGGCCAAGGAGTGGGTCCAGGCACACGTCAACGGCTGTGCAACGTTGCAAGTGCTTGCGCCGGTCGTGACCGCCCGTCCGCCGCCCGCCTGCAGGCGCTGGTCGATCAGCATGCCGACTGCCACGGGTGCACCTTTTACCGTGCCGAGGCGGTCCCTCCGCACTGGGGCAGCCCCGACTGGCCAGACACGTACGAGGGCGGCCGGTGGGGCCCGCCGTACGCGCTGGTGCAGGGCGGGCTCTCGGCGCGAGGCGCGGCGGAGCCTCCTCGCGTGCCGCGCGAGGACAACCCGGTGGTGCGGCGCGGCATGGCGGCGTGGGCTGGCGGTGGGAGTGGGCCCGCCTTCTTCATCGCGCTCGCCGATCATCCAGAGTGGGGGCGAGGGCACACGGTCTTTGCCGACGCCGTCACCGAGGACATAGCAGCGCTCGAGCGCATCCTCGCCCTCCCGACAAAGACAACTCCGGGCAAAATCCCGATCACGAACCTCGTCACGCCGGTGCCGTTCACACTTGAAAGGGTGTGAGCGTATTACTAAGGTGTGTTGCGTGTTTTCATTTTAGGCAAAATAAAAAATGATCACAGTGACCAGAGCTGGCAGCTGCACGAGCTCGTCTCCAGAGCGCATGCAGCTAGAGGGGTGTGAGCTCTATATATCGTATATGGCGCCGTGTGGGGGGCTGGGCCTGGGGGGCGTGAGCTGTGACTCGTGTGTGTCATGAAAGATGAGAGGGCAGATCACCTTCGAGGGGCGGGACAGGAGAAGGAGTGCAGTGTGCACCGCAATGTGAGGCGCATGCGCGCGCATACTGAACATAGTGCACAAACGGAGCGCCGCACGCGCGTCGCCTTGGCCAGCAGGGGGTAGCTCTAGCTGCCAGGTGGAGGAGGTGGTGAGGAGGCCTAGTCGAGGTCGGCGGCCATCATGCCGCCTGGGCTCTCGCGCGCCACCGGCTTGAGCGGCTCTGGCAGCAGCTGCGCCGTCGCCGCCTCGTGGAGCGCGAGCGCGTCGACCAGAGCCGAGGGCGACGCTGGCTGCGTGGGTGCCTTGGAGAGTGCGGACGCCTCGGCCGGCAGGAACGACACCAGCGGCTCGAAGGCGCCCGAGGCGAGGCTTGCCATTTGAGGCGACGCCGTGCTCGCGGCGGCGGCGAGGGCGGCGACGACAGCCGGCCAGCCGCCCGCGGCGTGCACTCGGCCAAAGTCGCCATCGACAAGCTCAACGAGGGCGAGCGAGAGAGCGAGGCGCGCCTCCTCCCGCTCGGCGGCGAGGAGCGCCGCGGCGACGGCGCGGACGTTGGCCGTGGTGCAAGCCGCCTCGCGCGCGGCGTCGTCCTTGAGGAGGGGCGAGAGGCTGCGCGCCACGACCAGCGCGTGCTCGTGCTCGCCTTGGAGGAGCGGCAACAGCGCCGGCAGCGCTCCGGCGGCGGCGAGGCGGCCTGCGAAGCGCGGCTCGTCCGCCACCTCGACGAGCAGCGCGAGGGCGGGCGCGAGGAGGCCGCCCTCCCCATCGGCCTCCAAGCCGGCCGGGCGGCGGAGGAGGGCGACGTGGGCGGCTGAGGCGCCCGCAGCGAGGCTGGCGTGCTCGCGCGAGAGCGCCCAGAGCGTCGCGCAAACCAGGAGCAAATCGCGTCCGTTCGCAAGCGAGTCGCGACCGCCAGGAGTCTCTAGCGTGGCGGCGGCGGCGCGCGCGGCGGCGAGGACGATCGCCTTGGACGACTGTGACAGCGCGCCGATCAGCGGTGCCCAGCCAGCCTCGGTGTAAGCGAGACCCCAGTCACCGCCGACGAGGGCGTCGAGCGCCACCAAGAGAGCCAGGCGCGTGTCCGAGCTGCCGATCGCCTGGAGGGCGCCGCTCAGCGCCGCGACGCCGCCGGCCGCCCGAGCCGCGCCGCGCGACGCCTCGTCGACGAGGAGCGGCGTCATCGCGCTCGCGATGGCGTGGACGCGAGGCTCGTCGGCCAGGGCGGTCTGCCCGAGGAGCCGGGCGAGGCTGGCGCCGCCGCCGGCTGCCGCGAGGCCCTCGGCAAACAGGGGCAGCCTCGCCAGGGCTGCGACGGCGCCCGCCGCGGCGGTGCGGATCTCGAGGTCGAAATAGTCGAGGAGGCGGACCGCGGCGGCGGGAGCGCCAGCGGCGAGCATGTCGGCGATGCAGTGGTGCGGCACAGCGGCGGGGTCGGCCGAGAGGTTGACGATGGCCGTGAGCGCCATGCGGAGGAGGTGCGGCTCGCTCTCGCCGAGGAGAGCGCAGAGCCTTGGCGCCGCGCCCGCCTCCAGCAGAGCCGCCGGCTCCACAAAGGAGACGTTCGCGACGGCGGAGAGGGCGACGGCGCGCGCCCGCGGGTCCAACGCGCGGGCAGGGTCGAGCGAGTGGCAGAGCGGCCGCAGTGCTCCCCAGCCAGACAGCTGTGAGCGGAACCGCTCGTCGGCCGCCAGATGGGCGAGCGCCTGCAGCCCGTGCACCGCCTCGTTGGCGTCGCCGCTGTCGGCGGCCGCCACGAGCAGCGGCGGCGCTCCGACTGCGGCGAGTGCCTGGCGGCCAGGCCCCTCCAGAGCGGCGCGTGACAGGAGGGAGAGGAGGCCGGCGCGCTGCGATGGCGGGAGCCCTCCCTGCAGCAGCGGCGCGACGAGCCGGTGGAGGTCGTCGGGCCCGGCGAGCGCGTCGGTGGGAAGCGCTCCGAGCGCGCAGAGGTTGGAGAGGACCGAGATGGCGAGCTCGCGGACGTGCGGCTGGCCCACCAGGCTGCAGAGCGTCGCGAGCGCGCCCGGCTGCTGCGCGATCGCCACGGCGTGCACCGCCGACTGCGACAGCTGAGCAAGCGTGTGGAGCGTCTGGTCGGTCGCGCCGCGGCTGAGCGTCTCGCACAGCATCGCGATGCCGCCGGAGGCGACCACCTCGCCCGCGTTCTGCGGGGCGAGCGACGAGAGCAGCATCATCGCGCTGGAGCGGGCGCGCTCGTCGTCGGTGCCGGTGAGCGCCACGATGGACGGCATCGCCGATGTGTTTCGCACGGCGCGCTGCACCGCCGCGGGGTCGGTCGAGTTGACCGAGCAGAGGCAGTCGATGGTCAGGCGCGCCTCCTCCTTGCCGCGAGCCGCGTCGCCGCCGCCCCACCCCTTTGCGACGCCAGAGGCGTGGATGAGGGCCACACAGAGCGTCTCGGCGGCGCCAGCGGCGAGCAGCGCGCGGGCGCCTTGGGCAGAGGAGAGGAGCTCCGAGATGAGCCTGAGCGCGATAGAGCGGCTCTCGGCGGGCGCTGCTGATGAGAGCAAGCCGAGCAGCGTGGGCGCGGCGCCCACGCCGGCCACCTGCGCCGCGCAGTCGCCGCTGCAGAGCGCGAGGAGGAGGCGAAGGGCGGCGCGCTGGACGCCCTCGATCGGCGATGAGAGCAGCGGCGCGGCGTAGAGCACGGCCCCAGACTCGAGCAGGGGCGCGTGATGCGCCTCCCCAGCCGAGGCGAGGGCGTCGCACAGCGGCTGCTGCACCCGCGGCTGCGACGAGCTCCCAAGCGCGTCGAGCAGCCTCAGCGGGGTTGGGTCTGAGGCGGGCGCCGTGGCACAGTAGGCGCGCAGCCCCTGCGCGACCTCCTCGCGCTCCGCCGGCGGAGTCCGCTCGTTGCGCAGGAGCGCGAGCATGCCTTGCGGGGACGACTTGTCGGTGGCCAGGGCCGCGGCCGCCGAGGGGAAGTTGCGGACCGGCGAGCCGGTGGGCGGCGGTGGCGAGATGGAGGGAGAGGGTGAGGGGGAAGGGGAGGCACGGCTGCCGCTGTCACCCCCCTGCGCGGCACCAAAGACACCGAGCTTGCGGAGCTCCTTGTTCATCTTGTGTACGGCGCCCTTGCCCTTCTTTGTCGGAGTCGGGCCGCGACTCGCCGCCTCGGCAGCCTCGGCCGCCTCGGCGACAGCGAGTGCCGCTGCCGCGTCGGGGTCCAGGCCGCCTCGAGCTTCTTGCCGGGCTGATCCACGGTTGCTGCTTCTAAAGCTGCCGCTGCGGCCGGACGGTACAAGCCCAGCCGACATCTCCTTTGGAGTCTTCTTGCCCGACGACGCGGCCTCATTTGGACGCGTCCACGAGGTGCTCTGGGTGTTGAAATCGACGTAGTACCTGCGGCCGGTTGCAGGGTCGAAACGCTCCTCCCAGCCAGCCGGCAACGGCGCCTCACCGAGGTTGGATGAGCGTCGCCGGAGGAGAGTCGGAGCCGCCTCCGCCGTCTGCTGCTTGAGGCCGGCCAGGACCTCGGCCGCAGGAACGCCGGCAGAGAGGAGCGAACGCGCTTCCGGCGTGTCGAGAAGGTCAGAGTCGGTGGGCATCTTGCAAGCTCTGCGAAGGACACGGCAAGGCGTCTCCCTCCGGAGGGCACTTCCGCTGGTTTTTTTTCGAGTTTTTCTTTTCTTTTGAGCTTGGCCTTCGATGTTATGAAAAACAAACGCAAGGCGGACACACACACATCGCTCTCGGGCCCACAGACATCCCGCACACCCGCCGCCCCCGCGCGCGCCCCACCCCGGCCGGGAGAAAGGGGAGTGACAGTTTGGGGCCGACTGCACGCTAAAGGCTACACGCTCGCACACCACTTGCAGAGTGGCTCTCCCGGGCGCTCAGCCCACGGCGGAGGCACGCCAGGCCCCGGGCAGCCGGCCGTCACTCGCCTAAGCGCCTAAGCGGCCTAAGCGGGGGGGTGCTTACTGCTTAGGGTGCTTAGGCGCTTAGGCGGCCCTTGCGAGCGTGGCGGCGTGGTGGTATCGTAATACAAGTGACTCCGATGACACACATGATGCTCTTGCTAGTGTCATTGCTCAGAGAGCAGCCTCACCGCGTCGAAAGTCTACCACTGGCCCTGGTCGCACACCGCCGCTGAGCTGTGATCACATTATTGCACCGTTTCGCTCGAACGCGATCCACGTGGGGTCACTATGGAGCCCAACGAGACGACCCTTGTGGAGCAGCTTGCCCTTCTCAACGATGTAGAGGGCGTCTCCAACGCCATCGACAGCATGACGGCCCCATTTTGAACAACATGACCGTCACGTACTACGTGGCTCAGTCCGGCGGCAGCAAGGCCAGGAGGCGCATTCCGTGCAGCGGCGACCGGCCAAACAAGCTTGCTTGCGCCCTCGAGGCCAAGCGGCGCGTGCGCGTCGAGCTCGGTGATGCCGTCGTCGACGCCGCCGAGCAGCGAATGAAGGAGCGGCGCGCTGCCGAAGCCTCGTCATCCACAGAGCTGCCGAAGAATGCCTTCACGATGCTCGGCGCGACGCAGCAGCTGCAGGCAGCGCTGCGCGCCGCCGAGGTGCGCGCCGTGAGCGCCGAGCAAGCCGCCACGCGAGCCGAGGAGCAGGCCTCGCTCGCGTATGCCGAGGCGGTGCGCGAGCCGTTGGCGGCGCGGGAGGCGGCGTGGCTCGCGCACGAGGAGGCCAAGCAGGCGCTCGCGCGCCACCGCAAGCAGCAGAAGGTCGAGGCGCAGCCGACGCCAGCGCCCAAGGAGCCCGAGTGGCGTACGCGGCCGTACGCCAAGTACGGGACGGTAGAGCAGTGGCGGCACGAGGAGGGCATATGGTGGAAACTGCGGCGGGTGCGGCTCTCCGGCATGCCGGCTCGGCCGAAACAGAAGCTGCCGAGGGGCAAGGACGCGGACACCTTTGAGGAGTGGGCACCACCCGACGGCCGGGACAGCTTCATCATCAACGCGACGGAGCTGCGTGGCGTCAACTTTACGATGACCCCTACGGGTGAGCTCCCACCGCTGCAATCAGAACTGCGCCGCTCAAAGAGGGCACCAAAGGCTAAGGTGACGGCGCTACCAGGGGCGTTGCCACCGCCGCCGCCGCCACCCAAAGAGTACGCGATGGAGCCCGCGATAGACGATGCTATCCGAGGGCGCTGCTGGTGAGCGTGTCTTGATATATGTTGCGCATGAGTACAGTACTTGATGTGTACGGGTTAAATGTTGTTGAACTATGTACCAGGGCGTGAACTGCGTGCGATGTTACTGACTTCCGCTCTCCTCAAAGTGTCAAAATCCTCTTAGAAAATGACCCAAAATGGCTCAAATTCGTCAAAAATCGCTTCGCGGGGGCTCTGCCCCCGCCCCCCCGGCCGCTCGCCGCGGCAGGCTCAAAAAGGCACTAGGGACATGGCCACCCCGCCCTGACCCTGCAACCAGCCTCCCGGCGGTTTGGCTGTAGAGCCTCTACAACAAACTCTACAACAAAATCGCGCTCTACATCGCTCTACAACGGAGGCAGTTCGTCACGCAGCCGATGTAGAGCTCTACAGCTCTACAGCGCTCCAGAGCGCTCTACATCTCTACAGCTCTACAGCGCTCTACACTCTACATCCTCTACACCCTCCCTCAGGGTTCGGTAAACCGAGATGGCGCGCGCGTGACTGATTTCTATCCTCTGCTGTATATGTGAATAATGATTAATGTGTGTAAGAATGCGGCGAGATTCCCTCCGCTCCACGGCCTCAAGAGCTTTTTACCCATCTCAGAGAGGGTTTCGTTTTTATTTATTTATTTACGGCCTCAAGCTCACAGCCTCGCACGCTCACGCAGCTCCTCGCACCCCCCTGCGCCGGAGCTATATCGTGTGCGCTCGGCTAGGACTGTTGAGCTGCGCGGTGCACCTTGTAGATGGAGAACGACGCGTCCGCCCCCCACCCCTCGTGCTCGCGCGCAATCCGGCGGCACATCAGACAGTCTCTCCCGACTCGCTCGATCCGGCACCTGAGGCCGGCGGCGCCGAGGCTGGCGACAAAGTCGGCCTGCCGCGGCCGCCCGTCCGGGAGGACAAAGAGAGCGCACGGGTGGGAGTCGGCGGATCCGTTCGCCGCGGGGCGGAGCATGGCGCGCAGCAGCGCCGCGATCCGCGCGTGCGAGTGGTCGTAGACGATGTCGGAGCCGATGACGACGTCGAAGCTTCCGAGCAGGCCCTCGTAGCGGCAGAGCGGGCTGGCGGGCGGGAGGTGGGGCAAGGCGGCCACGTCCGCCTCGCAAAAGTCGCGAAAATCGACCAGCGCGGCGGCGGGCGCGGCGGGCGCGGCGCCGGCAAAGTTGAGCCGTATCGACTCCCCCAGGTTCCGCAGCACAGCCGGGTCGTAGTCGGACATTGTGATGCGGGCGTCGGGCAGTGCTCGCGCGACTGCGAGCCCAACCAGGCCGAGCCCGGCGCCGATCTCGAGAACCCGCGGGGTGCGGCAGCCCGCCGGCTGCAGCAAGCTCGGGTTCTCCAGCAGCCACGCCGACATGAGAAGGGAGGCGTCCCACAGCTTCCCGCCAATGCTACCCGCCACCTCCGCCGCCGCCGGGCGTCGAACGCGCAGCGAGAGCCACTGCTGCTGCTCATCCTCGCTCTCCTCAGCCTCCTGCTCAGACTCGTCGGCGGAAGCCGAGCCGGACCGGAGCGCAGCCGCGCGAGCGCACGCCTCCCGCCTCAGCAGCGCGGCGCCGGCAATCACGTCATCGACAGTCGCAACCTCGCTCGACGAGCTGCCCGCTCCGTAAGGGATGCGGACGAGGTCTTCGGAGGCGGCAAGCAGCGATGGCGGCAGCATGTGGGCCTTCCGTGAAGTTAAGCTGGACTGCTGCGCGGCTCACGGGCCGCGCCTTCGCGTTTGTCAAGCCACGTTTTCTTTGCTTTCCGAGGGGGGGTATCTCGAGGTTCTGAGGTGGATATCCTTTGGCCGCGTTGGGTAGCGAGGATTGGTGTGACGCGATCCACGCAGGCGTGTTTTCTGGCGGCCGACCGTCCAGTGCACGGAGTTGCCCCTTCTCCGACTGCCCCGCCCCCGGCTAGTTCCCGAGGTCGTCGGGTGTGACCCCTGCGTCCCCCGAGACCTAGCGCGGGTGGGTTAGAGGGGGCTCGCTGCAGGGAAGGGCTGTGTAAGAAGCCGATCCCCGTAGTCCGCCCCACTCCTCCCCATCGGGCCGCATGAGCGGCCACGCCTCGCAGGTTCGTATCTCGCGCCTGGGTCAGGCGCGCGGGGCATCCCCCGCCCGGGTCGCTCGACCAGCGATCCGAAGAGTGGCCGCTATGCGAAGGAAAGAGCAGGGCCCTCGGGGTACGCCTCGTCCGGCCCCCTCCCGAGGGGGGAAGGGAATTGCGGGGTCCCCACGGGCGCCTCTCTTCGGCCCTCCCAAGGGGGGGAGGGGAGCAAGGGGGTGGGGGGATCGGGGCGGGGGGGAGGTGTCTCGGATTTCGTGGGTCTAATACTTGCCTGTCGGGGAGGGGCCTCGCGCCAAGCGCAATTATTGCTGCCTGACCTCTTCCCCCCCTCCCTCGAGGCAGCGAGTAGGCAGCGAGAGGAGGTCTCGAGCGCCTATTTATGAAGGTATGTGAGATGGTGATGGGAATGGGTGGTCGGTCGGTCGGGCGGGCGGGCGGGCGGGCGGGCCGGCAAGCGGGGAGAGACGGGCGGATGGGGCGGGGCGGGCGGGCGGGGTGATCGGAGGAATCGTACCCACAATCAGCAGAAGCGGAGCAGCAGCAGCAGCAGCAGCAGCTGCAGCAGCAAGCAGCAGCCTGCTGCCGTTGTCAGCGCCGCGATCCGCCGCCGCGCCGCCGCGCCGCCGCCGCCTGCGCCGCCTGCGCTCGCCGCCGCCTCGTAGACGACCTCTCTCGCGCTCAAAGAGCCGCGCAGCGGGCTGCGAGGTGGAAGTCAAAGAGCCGCAGGGTGTCGAGACGGCCCGGAGACGGTCCCGCGTTGTTGCCCCGGTGCTGGCGCATCACTCCTCGGCCGCGAGGGGCCGGCTCCGCCGCTCAGCCGAGCAGCAGGAGCTCTGGCACAAGTTTGTCGACTAAGTGGTTGAGCAAAAAATCGGCGAGGAAGCGGCACCGGCGGTACGCCGGGACGAATCCGGACCGGTCACATTGTGCAGAACCGCGGCGGCGAGCCGCCGCGGGCCCACAGGAGGGCTGGGCGCCGCGGCACTAGACCGCGCTTCCAGTGGGGCGAGAGCCGCAGCCGACAACCAGCCGACATGGCAGTTGCTAACGGCGCGAACCCTTATTAAGGCGGCGGTATACACTCGGGGGCAGCAGCAGACCGGCAGTACAGTGGAGCTGGGTGGTGTGGTACTTATTTATTAATTATTAATCATCGGATGATAATAATTAATCATTAATCATCGGGCGGCGGCGCGGCGCGGCGGCGGGCGACACTGAACGAGCGGGGCGGCGTGACCATCAGCAGACGCCCAGGTCTCTAGCCATTGGAGCTCGGCAATGGTGGCGCCGTCCACCCTCCTCGACTCGAAGGGGCTGCCTTCCACCCGTAGCTGCTCAGGCCGGGGGAGGGGGGGAGACCTCCTCTTCCTCGCGGAACATGAACAGGCACCTACTTGCCCGGTCTTTGATGCAGAGCGGTGGTCGTGCCATCGGCGCTTCGTACACACACACACCTCGCCGCAACTAAATCTATCGCCGGCGCGCGAGCCGCGACTCGTTCCCGTCGGCTGGACTGTCCTCGTCGAGTGTGTGTCCGCAGAGGGGCGAGACGCACTCAGGGACGGTGCCGACGGGACGCGGCTCGAAGGGCGACTCCCGCGGAGGCACGGCTGGCACCCGTGGCGCGGGGCTCGTCTTCGAACACTGGCCATCTCGAGACATTCGCAAAGAACGCTAGCTACATGGGAGGGCTTCGTGAAGGATGGATTGAAAAACATTCGAACAAAGAAGAGGCGACGGGAGGAACCGGCAGAGGATGCAGTGACGTGACACACACACACACACACACACACACACACACACACACACACACACACACACACACACACACACACACACACACACACACACACACACACACACACACACACACACACACACACACACACACACACACACACCGCTCACCCACGCGCACCGGGCTAGAGCTGTCAAACGTTAAGAGCTGAACAGTGTTGCTAGTGTTAACAGTAACAACAGAACAACAGTTGGGCTCCCCAACAACAGTAGCTAACGTTAGGCCGGCTGAACAACAATAAGGAAGGCCTGGCAGTGACCCACGACGATCTCCAGCGTCCAGTGCGGGTAATACCCGAAAATACCCGGGAAAACCCAGGTATTTTCGGGTTTTACCCGGGTTTTTTGGCATTTTCTGCTTGCTGACCGCTGAACAACAGTAACAACAGTAACAAACAGTAACAGCATGGGCTGGGATGAACACTTGAACAACGTTAAGGATTTCAGCCAACAATAGTGCAACTGTTAGGCCCAAAGTTAACGTTTGACAGCTCTACACCGGGCCTTGCACTTTAAATGCCGTGGGGCTCCTGTCGTTAGACGTGGAGACGCGAGGGTTGCCCCCCCTTGCCCCACCACCTCGTGTGTGTGGAGAAGTTTACCTTACCCTTACCCTTACCTCTTCGAACAGACCAGGATTCATAGCTCTACTGGCAAACTTCTAGCTGACACGCAGGTCATGCAAAACGGGCCCCCTGAGTGTGACCGAAACGCGTACACCGGCACATTGTCGGCCGATGCGCGGCTCGCCGCCCACCCCACGCGGTCCCTAGGTGTTATATAGCATAAACACCGTCCGTGCAGGGCTCCTAGGCCATCACTGGGTCCACAGTGGACGGACACACAGCCTCAGCCGGCCCGGCGGGCTCCCGACCAGAGCCCGTCCGGAGGCCACAAACGGACACTCTACCGACCTTTACACCCCTAGACAACCCACCCCGACTAGCACACGGTGTCGGCCCGACCGCCCTGCGGCCCCAGCTACCAGCTGGCGCCGCTCGGCCCGGCTGGAGGCGACTGGGGCGCCCAAAATCGCGGAACCGGCGACGTCCTCCGGCCAGCAGCCGGATCGGGCGTCCGACCCGCCCCCTCGGCGACCCGAGATGGTCTCCCCGACCCCCGAGGCTTGGCACACCGCGCGAGGGGGGCAGCCCAGCCACCCTGCACCACCCAGGCCGGCCTCTGTGAGCCCAGGCGCGCCGTAGAGAGTGCCGACACGATGTCGACGATTTTGGCCTGCGAGACGGGGGCGAGGAGCGGTGTGAGGGCGCCATGTGCCCGGGCGACGGGCTACGGGGCCGCTACACGGGCCGCAGAGCTTACCAGCGCCGGCACGGTGGCGCTGGTAGCGATGGTACTGCTTGTGGCCGCCTTTGGCAGTACCTGACCGAGGGCTGACTCGCGACGGCGACGGGGCGGCGAGCCGGGTGGCGGGGTGCGGGGAGGAAGGAGGGGCGGGAGGCGGCGGCGGAGGCGTGCTCATCTCTGGCAGGAAGCCCGAGTAGACGGCGCCGCGCCGCTCCAGCATGCGGACGACGCGCCAGTACCGCCGCCACCGCAGCGTCGTCGCTGCCGCGCGCCGCCCGCGCCTCCGCCTTCGCGGCCGCCGCATCCTCCTTGCCCATGTTGACGAGCCGTGTGGCGACGCGCGCGCCCGCAGACTCGGCCTCGTCCGGCGACAGCATCGGCGCGCCGACCATGTCGCACAGGAGCTGCGCGAGCGCCTTCTTTTTGGACACCTTTCCCTTCAGGCCGGCTCCGTCGGCGGCGAAGAGCGCCTTAATGGCATCATCTGCACACTCCATCAGCTGGAAGGTGACCATTTGGGCGACCCGCGGCAGCCCCGGAGGGCTGGTACGCTTGGTCCAAGCCGAAGAAGATCGCCTCCGCACGCCTGAGCGCCTGGCGGGTCAGAAGCTGAGCCGTGCAGCGGGCGGCGATGTATGAGGCCAGAGAGGACAGGGCAGCACTCTCTGCCAGCTCTTTGGCCACGGTCGGCGCGCGGCCTACCGGGCCAGCACAGGCACAGCTCACGATACGACGCGAGTGCGGCGGGGTACGGGGCGATTCCACGGAGTTCTGCGGGCAAACGGCGGGCGCGCGCACCTGACGCCCAAACGACGCCGTTGACCCCACAGTACAGCTCAGAACCCGCTCGTACGGGATCGAATCCTCATCCGGACCACCCAGCCTCGGCTCCTTCCGGCCCGTTTGGCGTCCGGAGCTCGGGCCTTCGAGCGGCGTCGAGGTGAAGATCGGCGCAGCAGGGCTGTCTTCGCAAGCCATTGTCGCTGCTTTCAGTGTGCACCGCGGAATAAAACTCAATTTATTTTGCATGACCTGCGCGCGCCCCGTCGAGCTTACGGCGGGCGCGCTGCGGTCGCACGCCTACCCAAGTCGTGCAAGCCCCGCAGAGGTGCGGGCGAGAGGGCGGCCCGAGCCCGAAAGGGCCCGCCCTCGGCCTTGCTCTACATGGTAACGGATAAGAAGAGAAACACCCCCGGACCGGGACGCCGGCGGTCGAGTCGGGACACGCTGTGGTTCAGACGTCCCCCCCCCTCGACGCAGTCGAGTGACTGACATGAATAGGGAGGAGAAAGTGTCCCCCACATATCACCACAGACGCAGCACAGGCGGAGGGGCTCCAATCCTGTCCGCCGGGGCCTCGGCTAGATCTCCAGTGGGGAGTGCGAGGGCTGGATCGACTGCAGCGAGAGTGTGGGTTGTGGACCGTCGGGATAGCGTGTGGCGTAGATGTTCTCCTGGAAGTAGAGAGGCTGATGTCTCTCGCCCTGCAGGAAGGAGAAACTCGGACGGCAGAGTGAAAACTCCTCCCTGCGGCATGTGCGCAGAACGGGTTGCGCAATGTGCGGCATCGTGTTGAGGGCTCGGGAGGGCAACGACGGCAACGTTGCCGAGCTTGTACAGGGGCCTCAATCCTGTCCCCGATGGGGTGCGCCTCTCGCCGCGCGCGTAGCAGTCGGCGCGCGGGTTTTCGGGTTACCCGGCGGGTAGCCTCAGAGATGCGCAGAGCGAGATGCGGGTATCAGCAAACCAAGCCCTGGGCTTGGATGGGCGCGGCGAAGCCGCGGCGCAGTGGATAGCGTGAAGAACTCGAGATCGCTGGGATCTTGAGCCGCCGCTGCCACGTGCAAGCCCCGCAGAGGTGCGGGCGAGAGGGCGGCCCGAGCCCGAAAGGGCCCGCCCTCGGCCTTGCTCTACATGGTAACGGATAAGAAGAGAAACACCCCCGGACCGGGACGCCGGCGGTCGAGTCGGGACACGCTGTGGTTCAGACGCAAGTCATATGCCACGGCGTGCGATCTAGATTCAGCACACGCGCTTCTGCTCGCAAACACTCGTCCAATGAATTGTCGTCACCCATGAATGCTGGGGTCACCGCTGTGGTGGCCACTGCTGCCGGCGTCGCCCCCGCCCCTGCTCCAATGAGAGATGGGGTCGCGAGGGACTGGCAGAGGCGTTGGAGAGCGCCGTAGAGGCGGCGGCGGAGGCGACGGTGGAGGAAAAGGCGGTGGCGGAAGAGGCAGTGGCGGCGGCTGCCCTTCAGCTCGCGCAGCTATGCGAGCGTGTTGACTGTGAAGAGCGGGTGGCAGCCGTGCCGTCCCGCAGCGTCTCGTGCATCGGCAACAAGGAGAAGGAGGCAAACAGCTCGGCAGGGACGACCCATCTCGTGCATCGAGTCGACCTCGGCGCGCACACGCTTCTCGTCGAGCTGCCGCCGCTCGCGGCAGAGCGACTTGTGCGCAAAGCGGACGAACCACAGCGCGCCGAGCAGCAGCAGCACCCTGAGGACGATGCCCGTGAGAGCGATCGCCAGCACAAGCGCAATATCCCGCCGCGCCCTGTCGGTCTCGCCGTACACGTTCGCCCGCGGGATGATGGCGGTCTGGCACCAGCGGCCCGGCGCCGCGAGCGCCGGAAGCCCATACCCCTCCAGCCGGAAAGGAGTCACGTCAGACTGTCGCCGCGCTCGAGCTCGACCCGCGCAGATGGTGCCCGCCGTCGCCCTGCGCCTGCGCTGTCGCCGCCTTGACCTCCGCGAGCGCCTCTGCGAGCGGCGCCATCGACTCGGCGATGCAAAAGAACTCGTCGCCCACCGGCGTCGGACGCGCAGGCAGCGCCTCCGTCGGGCAGACGGTGCGCAGCGCTTTGACGGAGCACGCGTCCGGGCCGCACTCCTCAGCTGTGCCGTCCCGTCAGCCACCTCCTGTACAGCTCGCGCCCCACCTCCGAGCGGAGCGCCTCCGCTCCGCCGGCCGCCATGCCCGCTGCGCTCGCCTGCAGCTCGAGCGGCGTCATCCGCCCCTTGTCGCGCAGCGCCGGCTCGATGCGCTCGCGGAGGAGCGCCACGTCGAACTCCGGGTGCGCCTGGCAGCAGAGCGCATTGCGGTGGCGGCCGCAGACGAAGAGCTCGTGCCGCGCGGTCGGCGAGCAGCCGAGCAGGAGCGAGCCCGCCGGCATGCGCAGCACCTGCTCGCCGTGGCTCTGCAGCAGCCGGAGGGAGGCCGGGCCGCCCTCGCCAGCGCCGCCCGCTGGCGGCAGCGGCGACAGGAGCGCCTCCACGCTCGCACGCTCCTGCGGCGGGAACAGGCCGGCGAGGGCAGCCGCGTCGACGTCGATCGTCTCTGCGCCAAAGGTGAAGCTGCCGTCCGGGTTGGAGCCGACCTCGCCCCCGAGGGCGACCGCGACGGCCTGGCAGCCAAAGCAGCAGCCGACCAGGCGCACCCGCGGCAGCGCAGCGCACGCTCGGATGCACTCGAAGAGGCCCTCGAGCCAGTGCTGCTGCTGCGGGTCGACCGCGGAATAGTGGCTGCCCGTAATCAGCACGCCATTGTACTTGCCCGACTCGAGCTCCGCGCGGGTCGGGAACTCGCCCTTGTACGCGTCGAACCTTTGAAAGGCCGCAGGCGGGAGGCGCAGCGCGCCGGCGAATATTCGTAGCTGATCATTCCACTTGTCAGCATCCTCGGTGTTGATGTAGGCGATGCGTGGTTGCAGGCGCCGTCGCCGCCCGAGGAGGAGGATAACGGCGGCGGCGGCGGCGGCGGCGGCGACGGCCACAGCCGTCGAGGTCCTGACCGGCATGGGTCAGGAGCTGGCCAACTGTGGGAGGAGGGGTCGGTCTGCGTCGCTTCCGACAGAGAGGTCCGCCTGCCGCCCCGACCTCAGAGCACCGGGACCCGGCGGTTTGATCTCCGTCGATGTAGGGTACCAGCCCTGGGGCCAGGTTCGTTGTGAAGAGCTGGGGGGGGCGCGCCACCCAAGAGCCTAGGTAGGTGCGGATCGGCAAGAGCGCAATCGATCTTTTTCCCCTCTATCACCTTGGGTTCTGAGGGAGGGTGTAGAGGATGTAGAGTGTAGAGCGCTGTAGAGCTGTATGTAGAGATGTAGAGCGCTCTGGAGCGCTGTAGAGCTGTAGAGCTCTACATCCGCCGCGTGACGATGTGAGTCGCCTGTAGAGCGATGTAGAGGCGTTCTACAACGTGAAATCTCTACAACAAACTCTACATCATAAGCGGCGAACGAGGCACGGTCGCTTTCCGACATTGTCAACCGAGAATCGGCGCGCAGTTCATAAGGTGCATGGGTTCAACTTGAACGGCACCTACGTCAAGCACATCCACCGTGGAACAGTCGGACAGCATCAATGGCATCATCTTGCGAACAACACACGTATGGACCACCGGGCAGACCTGTTCCGTCGCATACGAGGAGGCTTGGCTTGGTGTGCGTGATGTTGGTGTTCGCTCGCTCCCTGTTATTTTGCGCGTTGTGCGCCCCCCCCCCCCCTTCTACGCGGGTGCGCCCACCGGCCTCTGCTAGGAACGCTTTATGTCGATGCAATCCTCACGCGCGCATATGATGGAGAGCTGCATGCCAACGCTAACAATGTCGCTCTTCGGACAAGAGAGGGAGCTGACGGAGATGCTCTTGTCGTACGGGCGAGCCCGCAATAAACGTGTACTACATACCAACGGACACACAAACGACTCGCTCTCTGGCCGGTCTATTTCTTTATTACGGCGGACCGTTTTTGTGTCGCGTGTTTGTTATGACCCCCCCCCCCCCCAATGAACACACCAGTGAGGGAGGGCGAGACGATCGAGGGGTCCCGTACCATGCGGAATCGACCCTATCCAGTGCTCAAGTGCTCAAGAAGAAAATTCACGGCAACCATTCACAGCACATTGTCTGGCCGAGTCAACCCGAGTGCTGGGGCGAGCCTCGGCCGGCGAGACTGCGTCAGCTGTTCCCACAGCAGGCTGGAAGTACCTCGCCAGGCTCGGCCGCGGATGCTCCTCGCACCGCTCCTCGGCCTGCTTCCCTGCCCTCCCACCCGGTGGGACGCGCTCGGCGAGCTGACGCCCGCGGCTCCACGCGACTTCCTCGCTGTCGTCACCGCGCCTCCTTCGCTGTCGCCGACTGCTGAGCGCGAGTGGCTCGAGCGGAACCGGGAGTGGCTCATGGATGAGCTCGGCGAGCACGGCGCGCTTCACTTCAAGGGCTTCCGCCTCCCTGCCACCTCGGCAGGCTTGCGCGACTTTTGTAGCGCGCTGCCTCTGGTTCCCTGCGCCGACCCTTTGGCGAGCGTCGGCGTCCGCTCCCTCCTCTCCGCGCCGGACGGAGTGTACGAGGCGGTCAACGCCGAGTCCCTCTCCAAGACCTTCATAGGGCTGCACAACGACGTGACGTACAAGCTGGCGGCTCCCTTCGCCGCCTTTGCGTGCTTCCAGCCCGCGAAGCTCGGTGGAGGCGACTTTCTGCTCGCGGACGGGCGGGCGGTGCTGGCCACCCTGCCTGCCGGAGTGCTGGCCACCCTGCGAGAGAGGCTGCTCTCAGTGCGGGTGGCGTCGATCCCCTTCGGATGGCTCGCGGACTTGCCGCTGCCGCCCTCCCTCCTCGCGGCGCTGCGCGGAGCGGCGCTGCGCGTCGTGGGCGCTATCCTCTCGGCCAAGGCGCTCGATCAGTATTACTACTATTCTATCATCTCTATTGACATTATCAGCAGTTAGTGTTTTATCCTCCTCTTCATCACTTCGAGTCGCCTAGCTGTGAACAGCGTCTCTTCACACCTCTAGCTGTGAACAGGTGCCGCTCGATCTGGCAGTCGCCTTCTCCGCCGACGAGCGGACGCTGCAGATCCTCGAGCAGCCGAAGGCGCCTGTCAACCGACACCCGGCCAGCGGCGCGCCAACCTTCTTCAGCAGCCTGCACTCGCAGTCGGCGTACCTGCAGCGGCGGCGGGCGGGCGGCGGCGCGGCGGGCGGCACCTTCGAGGGCGTGGACGTCTTTTACGGCGACCTTTCTCCCCTCGAGCCGGCGCTGCTCGAGGCTGTCGACGAGGCGGTGGGGAGGCACGTGGTGCGGGTGCCGATGGCGACGGGCGAGGTCGTGCTGCTGGACTCGTACCAGGCGCTGCATGGACGGGACTGCTTCGAGGGCAGGCGCGAGCACGGAGTGGTGTGGCTCGACGAGGAGAGAGGAGAAAGATTGACTTGCGCTGCTCTCTCATCAAAATCGTGCGTGAGACAGATCGTTTGAAAGTACGTTGCTGAATTGCTGAACGGAGCCCAGCACTTCTCGGGGGAATCTCGGCGGAAAATTATCTCGGGGGGATCTCGCTGATAAAGCCGTAGATCGTGCGACTCTCCACTGACGACAACAGTCAACACGACTCAGCTGTGCCAGTCCACAGCCGGCACTCTACACACAGCGTGAAACTCACTAGACAGCTAGAGCAGGAGCGTGACGGAATCACATCCTACTCCGTTTCTTACTCCGTGAGCTCCTACCCCGTCAGCGTCACTCCGCAGAGGTCGAGGAAATGTGCGAGCGTTTCCGCCTTGTGCCGCGCAGGGTCGCGCCCGAGCTTAATCTGGTTGACGAGACTCACATAGAGCGCCTCGTTTTGGGGACAGAGCTTGCGCACAGCCTTGACCCGCTGCACCTACGGTTGCAATCCTCGCCTATGTGGTGCCTGGCTTAGCCGTTAGCGTCTCTGCAGCCTCGGCTGCGCGGGCGACCAGTTTGTCGTGGTATGCGCGCAGTGCGTCCACTCCGGCGACCGTGACGCTCGCAGGTGGGGAAGCCGCCGCCGGCCCAGTGAGCATTGCCACCTGGAGTTCCTCAAAAGCATCGCCGGCGCCGCCGCGTCCACCGCCGCCGCCACCGCCGCCTCTTCCACCGCGTCCACCGCGTCCACCGCCTCCTCCGTCGCCGCCGCGCCCTCCTCCGCCTCCGCCGCGCCCTCCTCCGCCAGCCGCGGGCGCGTGGAAAGTAGACGACGCCGCTGCGCCGGAGCCCTCGTCGGAGCCGTCACCACCCAAGCGGCGCAGTGACGTCGGGGCGTAGTCCGGCGTGGCCATCAACAGCTCCCGCATCACAGTCTCGGCCTCCACCGCCGCCGCCCCTCCTCCATAGACCTCGAGCAGCCGCTCGTGCTGCGCCACCGACCCGTCCCACCTCCTCGTCACCGTCCTCCCCCCTTCCAGACGCCGAGCCTCCTCCTCCGACGTCTCAACGTGCATCTTGAGGCCCGTCCGTGTCATGATATTCCGGATCATCTCGCCCCGCGATGACAGCAGCGACGTGACGCAGCTCTTGTGTATAGCGAACGTCGTGCTCGCGCGACTGGGCCTAGCCACCACCTGCCAGCTGTCTTCTGCCGCCGCCGCCGCTTCTCGCTCCGTCGTGCCCCGGTCGGCCCCTGCCGCGGCGGTCCCCGGCGCCATGCTCATCGCGGCGTCCTCCGAACCGGCCATGCTCATCGCCGCCAGCTGAGCCTCGACTCGAACTTGAGCTGCTTCCAGCTCTCTCCTCTCCTCCCTCGCCGCCCTCTCCCTCGCCTCCGCCTCCCTCGCCTCCGCCATACGCGCTCTCATCTGCTCGGCCAGCTCCGCCTGCGCTGCCTTTGCGGTTGCCTCCGTCTCCTGCACCGCCGCCCGCCGCGCCGCCAACTGCCTCGCTTCCTCTGCTGCAGCCGCTCTCGCCGCTTCTCTCGCCGCCGCCTCCGCATTCTCCTGCTGCCACCTCGCAGCCTCGCTCGCCGCTGCTTGCGCCTCTGCCGCCGGCGCCCCGGCGTCGTCGGGGAACAGATGCTTCTCCAGCAGCTCGACTTGTGCCTGTACACGGAGGCCCTGGGCGGTGATGTCGGCAAGTCCGAGCGCCTTCAGTGCAGCAGCTGCCCTGGGGATGATTCCCTTTGGAGTGACCTCGATACCGCGGCTCAATAGCTCGCTGCACACTCTGTCCAGTCGTGTCGTCAGCGGTGCAGGCTTTGACAGCGGTGGAGCGCCGCTCGCAGCACCGGCGGGGAGCTCCGGCGACCAAGGCTCGTGCTCCGGCGACGTTGACAGAGGCTCGGGCACTGCCGATGGAGTCGGCTCAGGCAGCGGCAGTGTTGGAGGCGGCTCGTGCGCCCGCTCAGCCAGGAGCGTGCGGACGACACCCTCCAAGTAGCACACGCGTTTCTCGAGGGCCTCTCGCGCTCGCCTCTCGCGGTCAAGCTCCGCACGGAGCGAGGATTGGTCGTCCTCTCGCATCTCCGTGTGGGGGAACGCGCGGGCGAGCGAATATACGCGGGAACTGGTTCGGCGGCAGCTTTCAGGGAAGTTGTTTCCTGTGGTGGTGGGGTGTTGTGCGAGGGTGCCTAACCATGAACAACGCGGGTCGAAGATTTGTTTTATCGTTTTTCAATGCGCCCTTCGCTGTTCATTTGCGAGATATTCTCCCGCCGTTCTCTCGCCATTCTTCCTGGCAGTTTAATTAAGTAAGGCAAGCGTGCCTTATCCTGGCTGGGTCCGGCGTGGTCGGGAGCCCTCGACTCCTCGGCGAGCTTTCCTGCCTCAATGTACAATGACATTGCAACAATGAGTGCGTCTTACTTAGCCCTTAGCTGTCGAGAGCACGTCTTGAGCACTTGAGCACTGGATAGGGTCGATTCCGCGTGGTACGGGACCCCTCGATCGTCTCGCCCTCCCTCTCTGGTGTGTTCATCGGGGGGGGGTCATAACAAACACGGTACAGGATCGAGGTGCACGCTGCCGAAGCAGTGTCGTCCCCCCTCTCCCCGACGGCGATGGCGGTGTGACCGATCGAGCTACAAGAGAAGCTTGTTCAGCAGGATCCGGGGTGCTATCTATCGGCACCATTTCAAGTTGCCGCCGCCG